AAAGAAGAGGGAGTCAAGCTATTCACCAAGGCGCCTGAAGGCAGGACGAGAAGCAACGGGTGGAAACTGATCAAGGAGAGAAGCAACCTAGAACTAAGGAGAAACTTCCTGACAGTTAGAACAATTAACCAATGGAACAACCTGCCTCCAGAAGCGGTGAATGCTCCAACACTGGAAGTTTTTAAGAAGAGACTGGACAGCTGTTTGTCTGAAATGGTGTAGGGTTCCTGCCTGAGCAGGGGGTTGGACTCGATGACCTCCAAGGTCCCTTCCAACTTTATTATTATTATTATTATTATTATTATTATTATTATTATTATTATTATTATTCATCTAGGGAGGGATGAGTTATATATAAATCACTCACACATAAAAAGTAAGTGGGCCAGCCTTTGGGAGATCTAGAACAAATGAAAGATTGAACATACAATAGCTCAGCATTGACTACCATGTTCCTATTCTCCTTTATTTTGCCATATTTATGAATGACCACAAGAAAAAGACTGCTTTAGAAGGCAAGCTACTTCTCACATTTTATTTTATTAAAATATTTTGTTTTAGAATCTGGGAGCCATAAGCAGAAAGATACTGTAGAAGGAATTTGCTCATCAATCTTGAACTTTATGTGCCCAAACTCTCTTAACAATATTAAATGAAACATAGGTACAGAGACTTAATATTCTGTAGAAAAACTTTCAGGAAAGGGGTACAGGTAGTCCTTGACTTACAATCTTTCATTTAGTGACTGTTCAAAGTTACAACAGCACTGAAAAAAGTGACTTATGACTGCTTTTTACACTTAGGACTGCTGCAGCATCCCCATAAACAGGTGATCAATAGTTGGATGCTGGGCAACTGGCTCATATTTATGAGCATTGCAGTGTCCCAGGGTCATGTGATCACCTTTTGTGATCTTCTGACAAGCAAAGTCAATGGGGAAGCCAGATTCACGTTACAACTGCGTTACCAACTTAACAACTGCTGTGATTCACTTAACAACTGTGGCAAGAAAGGTCATTAAAAGGAGCAAAATTCACTTAACAATTGTCTTGCTTAGCAGCAGAAATTTTGGGCTCCATTGTCATAAGTTGAAGACTATCTTTAGGTGGGACAATCTTTTTCTATAACTGCCATCCTAAACCATATTTCTGAAACAGCCCTTTTTAGAACTAGATATACATTAGGAGGATATAGATCAGTGGTGGCGAACCTATGGCACGGGTGCCAGAGGCGGCACTCAGAGCCCTCTCTGTGGGTACACAGGTCGTCGCCCCAGTCCTAGGCCTTCAGCTGGGTTTTATAAAACCTTTTCGCTTTAGGCCTCCGCCATCATGTGCAAAAAAAAAATAAGGTTCAATCAATCAATTTCAACTTCTTGCAGGGAAAAAAAAGATCTTGCAAAGTTGGAATTGATTGATTGAACTTTTTAGTCCCACCCAGTCTGCCGTTACTACTGCAGCCACGCCCACCCAATGGGCCACACCCACCCAATGGGCCACACCCACCCAATGGGCCACCCCCACCCAGCACTCGACGATGCATAAGTGGGTTTTGGGTTGCAGTTTGGGCACTCGGTCTCTAAAAGGTTCGCCATCACTGATATAGATTCAAGTACATCAAAATTTCTTAGCTTACCAAGATTAAAGGTCTTACCATTTTGCTTTATGTTGTGAATGATGACTTTTCCCTGTTCATTAGCTGTCATCTGAAATGTGATAATAGATTCATTTTTCCCTTGTAACACACAACGAATCCATTTGTCTTCCATAATATCTGAGGATAAGGAAAAACCCATTTTACGATTCAGAGAGAGACATATCAAGCAGTTCTTACGAAGATTAAACAGTTTCTAACATCAGGTTATTTTTTAACAGGCACTAAGAAACAAAAGTGGAAATATACTAAAAGATTTGCAAATAATTGTTCTACTGTTGGAGGGGGTTTCCTTGGGGTTTTTTTGTTGTTGTTGTTACTCTTTGCATTGCTCAGATGAGGAGGCCAGGTGTTGTCAGTCTATGTGGACCATCAAGTTGATAAAGAATGACCATCAAGGTGGTCAAATATGGGAAATTTATTGAACTGGAAATATTTCTAAGGAAGCTGCAAAAGCTATCAGGGGAATATAGTACAGGTACTACTTGACTTACAACAATTCATTTAGTGACTGTTCAAAATTACAGCAGCACTGAAAAAAGTGATTTATGACCATTTTTCATACTTACAACCATTGCAGCATTGCCATAGTCACATGACCCAAATGCAGACGCTTGGCAATCAACTCGTATTTATGATGGTTGCAGTGTCCCGGGGTCCTGTGTGATCACCTTATGTGACCTTCTGACAAGCAAAGTCAATGGGGAAGCTAGATTCACTTCACAACTGTTACTAACTTAACAATTGCACTGGTTCACTTAACAATTGTGGCAAGAAAGGCCGTAAAATGGGGGGGAAAACTAACTTAACAAATGTCTCACTTTGCAAATATGCCAATTGTGGTCATAAGTTGAGGACTACATATAAACTTCATTAGAGTAAACATGATGTCTTTATCTTTTCGCTACTATCAGAATGTCTAGATGATGTTTCAGTGTACAGGATATTCCCTTATAAAGATACTAATCCTTTTCAAGAGGAATGCCATTTATTGCTGACAGAATGCTGTTAAAAAAATAGCATCATGTACACATGTCTAATAACTAAAAAGAAATCACGAGAGGAATAAGGAATGCACCTCAAGGTAACATAGAATAGATAATATGTAAGGTATTCCCAGTACAGTAATCAATGCTTTCATCTAAATTTCCTCAGGCACAATTCTTTTGATGTTTATTCAAGCAGCTTAAAAAAGGTGGAATATGCATGAGGGAGCAGACAACATAAATAAGAAGGAAATCTGAAAATGTAGACCCCTAGGCCAATAATACTAGAGGCTCCATGTCTCATCAATATTACTCAAAATAATAATAATTGTTTCTGAATTTCCTGTGAAATCTATAGCCATGTTAGAAAAAGGATTCTATGGGGAGCCATTCCAAATAAAGTGATTTGTAAGTTTCACATTGCACCGTAGCTTATCTGTATTTTTATAATATATGGCATTGTTCTCATTGCCTATACCTACATTATATATATTTTTCAGAATAAGCTTTCATCGAAGTTATCAACCATATAGACATTTTATTAAAGTAAGCAGGATATGTTTTTGGAGAAATGAATAGGAAACAGTTGTTTAATTCCCCCCCTCCTTTTTAAAATGGTATTTCCCCAGGGGAAAGGATTTTTTCTAAGCTATTCTAAAGACTCCCCCCCACCTCCACCAGTTTTTCTGGAAGAGGTAGTATGATAGTCCTGTGAAACAAAACATGCAGATGTTTTCTAATACCAGAAGTAAAACCATTTTTTAAAAAGATAACTTAAAAAAACCAGAAGACTTTACTTCATTGCTTTAGCAACGTCAGGCTACCTTGTGTTTATTCTCTTCACACTAGTTTTTTCTGTTTATAAATTATGCTGATCCAATTAAATAATTGAGAGTAATATCCTGTAACAGGTATATAACATGATATGCAGGTCATATAAACACTCACAAGGTTATTTTACACCAAGCAGTTTCTGTTTTTCCAAATATTCTCAAGTTCTAAAATAATACTTTTTGTCACACCCACCCTATTTAAAAATTTACATACCAACACAACAGAATGCATATATTTTGGGGTTGTTTCCATTTTTGAAATGATGCTTTGCTATGCTCTTAGCAATTTGTGGCAATCAGTGCCAAGTTGCAGTTGGTCTAGCAACTGATTTGGATGTTGCACATTATTATATCTGTCTGAATTAAAAGTGAGCTCATGTCTGCAGAGTGTGGATAGCAATTTTGATTGTTTTGCCTGTGATCAACCACTACAGTTACCTTTAGTGTTCATAGTGATCTCACATAGCAATAAAAAGTTCTCCTTTTTCTCATCATTTAGATAATTTAGAGCAGGGGTACCCAACCCCCCAGTCTATCGACCAGTACCAGGCCGTGGCATGCCAGCAACTGGTCCACACAAACAAATAAAGCCCCATCCAAAGGATGCAGGCAGCACACAAAACCACGCCCCCTTTGGTCCGTGGAAAAACCTCTCTCCACGTAACTGGTCCCTGGTGCCCAAAAGGTTGGGGACCTCTGATTTAGAGAATTATATTTCTTGATTGGCAGCTTAAGGTCATATTTGTCTGGGAATCTCTATTGACATCATTAATATAATGAGGAATTTAGCTTACATAATTTGAAATGCCCCTTAAATTGTGAAGGATCTCAAGAGAGTAGGCAAACATCTAATTTGGAGGTATTATATTATATACAATATAACAAAGATGTATATTATAAAACCCATCTATTTCAGGTACCATGGAACATCATTTTTAAGGAGGCTGTCACTAGATAACTTAAGCGACAGTGGAACACAATACCGGAATCTTTTTGTACACTATAAAACACAATAGCCTCAGGATATTAAAGCAGTTCAGTGTGTTTGGATTAAGATTTACTGAATGGCTGGCTGTTATGGCTGCTGGCACCAGAACTAGATTACATTTTTAAAAAAGCAGCTGTCATGTAGATTGGAACCAAGAGGATCTTTCAATCTGTGTGGTCAGATAAATAAGGGCAGCTTATCTCTTTCCTAGGCAAAGCCTCAATGTCCATCTCCCCAGAGGAGAGGCTGACTTAGCTGAAACTTTCCAAACTCAGCACATCGTGGCTGAATTGGATCTTTTTTATTACACAAGAAAGTGAAAGCCACAGACAGTCTCGGATTATTAAGGCCGATTCCTATATTTATATTTTCCCTGAATTAAAAATCTATATCCTCTTCTCATATTTCCCCCCTGTGTTAAAATGGCTCGCTAGTAAATGTCCATTCCTGGTTTATTTCCTTTGCATTTCTATCTGGGAATCTATTGCAAGAAATGTAACACTTATGCCAAAGATAACTTCTGAGACAACCTCTAGATGCCCCCAATGGAATAATTCAAGTAGGGTAGCTAGCCCTGAGACTTTGGCTTGATAGTGTGTTTGTTGGGCATCAAAGGCATACATAAAACTGCTATTGCCATGTATTCTGATTTCATTCTGTGCATCTTTTAATTTGTATTATTTATTTTTCTTATTCTTACATTTAATGGTTTTGACTTTCACATTGTGGGAGAGTTTCAACTGTTTAGGTGGTTTAGAAATATATATCAATAAATACACACACACACACACACACAGACACACACACAGACACACACAAATAATGAAAATTTGCTTTGTTCCCTTTTTCTTTCTCACTAATACCCAGGTGAATTCTGGTCAATCTGGGATGCTGAGAAGAAATATTTACCGTTTGAAACATGGAAATAAAATCCTGAGGATCAGCCAGTAAAGGGAGATTGAAAGGGAGGAAGAGCAAGTAAGAGTAGATGTAATAGCTTCTTTCTCATCTTTTATGTTGAACTGAGTTTTCTATGTACTTCTCCCTTTAGTAACTCTTCACAGCCAAGGATGTTCATAGCACAGAGATAGGAAAAAAACAGGACCAGACTGATTATTAGGAAGAGTAGTGCAACTACGTGATGCAAATGTATTCTGAACACAGTTGCTGATTCTTGTTATTTTTTCAGCTATTCAGCTGTACTTAGTATGTAATCCATCCTTGGATATCTATTCCTACTCTGTTGTCTCAGGTGTGGAGGACCCTATTTTATCTTATCAACACAGTTAATTAAAAAAAACCCTCAATTGTCAGTCTTGTCATCTTTTGTAAGGCAGACTGAAGAGAGTAGACAGCACTGAAGCCATTACATCTTCACTTTCATTGTGATAAATTGCAAATAAATCACAAAAGAGCATCAGCAAACAGACAAGCAAATGCAATATTGGAGCCCTGACCCTGAGTAGCTTTAGCCTAATGCTATTGAAAAATTTCCAAGAGGGACAATTGAAAATATACATATAATCATATAACCTATGCACACACCACACACACACACACACATCCCATGCAAGCTGCAAGACCTAGTAAACCTATTGCTACACCTAATAATAACGAAGCAATAAAGTACAGACCTTCATCATGACTGATCATTGCGTCAACCAATTTACATTTTTCAGTGCAGTCTTCCTGATGCGGTAGATCAGCAGAAGCTAGATAACATTCCACACAGCTCCTGAGAAAGATGGTGCAATGATTTATCAATCTCCTTTGCATTAAGAATAAAAAGTGAATACATACACAGCCACCATTTTTTAAGTACCTTATGAAATATCTGCAGTAATGAATAAGTAATTCTCAGCATTTAGAATGTACCACACAGAAAAGGAAATAAAAAAAAAATCTGGTGGTAAAAATAACTCTTATCCCTTTTTTCTCTTTGGATGCTTACCAGATAAAAAATAGCTTCTCATGGGAACCATGAGAATTATTTTGGTTATCTAGGCTCATAACAATGATGAGCAAGTTTTACAATTTTAGAAGCTGGACACTGGAGGGGTCTAGAGATTCTAAGAAGAAGAAGAAAAATGCAAGTCTGCCTTTGTGTTGATTAACTTGGATATATCAAATGATATAAACCATCATAACATTGGAAATATCAAAGGAGATTATTGAAGGATGGAGCTACAATTTAGTAGCTACAGTGCCAAAAGTGTCAATAGTAATATCTGATTCTATGGATAAACTATATCCAACAGGTGGTAATGAAGGAGTGACAGGTGTAGAGCAAATTTTGTTTGACAAGGTATAGAAAGTACAGAAGGTAGAATTACAAAGGACAGGCCAAGAAAATGATTTGGGAAAGGATGTTTTATTGGATATACAAAATAAATTGGCTGAAGTTTTAAAAATGAAAGGGAGAATACAAATAATAAACAAAGAGAGTGACCTGGAAAATGGTTTCTTATTGCTCTACAAAGAGGCATATTAAATCCTTGAAGATGTCTTCGTGATGGGATAAAGAAAAATTGAAAAAAATCAAATTTTACAACAGTATTTGAATGAACTAATGTTTAAGACTTTTAGAAGTAAAAGGAAAGAATATAAAGTTGATTACTTTGAATAAGGTTAAAATAAAGCTTTCTCTGCAAAGTTTTGTGAATTCTTTACAGAAATTTTGATGACACCAGGATTCAAAAGCTGATGTTTTATGGATTTGTTTTATAGATAAGGGATGGGATATGGAACAATAGATAATAATAATAATAATAATAATAATAATAATAATAATAATAATAATAATAATAGTAAAGTTGGAAGGGACCTTGAAGGTCATCTAGTCCAATCCCCTGCTCAGGCAGGAAACCCTATACCATTTCGGACAAATGGCTGTCCAGTCTCTTCTTAAAAACTTCCAGTGTTGGAGCATTCACCGCTTCTGGAGACAGGTTGTTCCACTGGTTAATTGTTCTCACTGTCAGGAAGTTTCTCCTTAGTTCTAGATTGCTTCTCTCCTTGATTAGTTTCCACCCGTTGCTTCTTGTCCTGCCTCCAGGCGCTTTGGAAAATAGCTTGACTCCCTCTTCTTTATGGCAACCCCTGAGATATTGGAACACTGCTATCATGTCCTCTCTCGTCCTTCTCNAAATTGGATGCAGTATTCCAAGTGTGGCCTTACCAAGGCATTGTAAAGTGGTATTAACACTTCACGTGATCTTGATTCTATCCCTCTGTTAATGCAGCCTAGCACTGTGTTGGCCTTTTTGGCAGCTGCAGCACACTGCTGGCTCATATTTAGGTGATTGTCCACTAGGACTCCGAGGTCCCTCTCACAGTTACTACTACTACCAATTAGTAACTTATAAAAAGTTACTGAATTTGTCTATACTTGTAATTAAGGTTGGAAGTCACTTCTTTATATATTTCTTTTTCTTTATCATATTCTTTCTTCCTTCCACTTTTTATTCTCTCTTGCTATTGTTTTTTTCTTTAATTTAGTTTGCATTAGCTTTTAATACTGAAATCAAAATGTTTAATAGAAAATTATATGCCAGAGCCCACAGCTGTGTCAGCAAGTTATTGATCGAGGAAGCATGCCAGAGTGTATTTAGATTCAGTAGAAGAGGGAAAAGACTATTTTAAAAATGGAACAGTTTAAGATGACTTTAACCTTCTACAGTATGAGCTGGGGATGAGAAGAAGGCAACATGACAGAAAAAAACCCCAATAACCATGGCATATTTGTGATTTGGCGCAGACTAAAGAGGAAACTTAATATCTTAGAAGTTAAAATTGATATATTAATGTTTTTAAATCGATTGGTACACTACATGATTTTCAGATATGTAAATCAGCTGAATTATTTGAGCAGTAATAAAAATCCCTGAATTGATCCAATACCCACACAAGCTGGTCAAAAAGTTTAATTAATGAGCCAACTGAGGTTGGAGCTAAGTCTGAGCTTTCTGGTTGAAAAAAAGAAAAAAGAACAGAAAGTGAGCCAAAGTTATTCTCCCACAGCCAGTCTCAGAAATGACTAACAGTCATATCAGCTGGAGGTCAAAGAGGACAGCACAATCCTCTCACTTCCACAACATGTATACCACCCAGAGTCACTCTGTGAGGGAGATGGGAGGTTTCTAAATGTGATATATAAATAAATAATCAGCAGCTGTACTAGCAAATGTGCCTCACAAACCTGGCTGACTATAATGTGCCTGGAAAGTATCCTGATGTCTGGCATTGCCATGGTTTTGCAAATCAAGCTACAACATTGTAGTAGCACTGGCTGGTGTTTAGCAATATAGTTAAGATGTAAAATGGGTAATTGAAATTTGTCTGTGGTTTTGATTTAACAACTGCCTTTATTTATAAAACAACTGCCAGGCAACTTCCTCTCAGCTTGAACAGAAAGAGATATCTGAAATTGTATCAGGAAATGTTCCCAATGCTGCCGGATGTTTTGGGGGGGAAACAGTTTGGATATAGATCAGTGGTGGCGAACCTATGGCACGGGTGCCAGAGGCGGCACTCAGAGCCCTCTCTGTGGGCACACAGGTCGTCGCCCCAGTCCTAGGCCTTCAGCTGGGTTTTATAAAACCTTTTCGCTTTAGGCCTCCGCCATCATGTGCAAAAAAAAAAAAAAGGTTCAATCAATCAATTTCAACTTCTTGCGGGGAAAAAAAAGATCTTGCAAAGTTGGAATTGATTGATTGAACTTTTTAGTCCCAGTCTGCCGTTACTACCGCAGCCACGCCCACCCAATTGGCCACGCCCACCCAATTGGCCACACCCAGCCAATGGGCCACACCCAGCCAGCACTCGACGATGCATAAGTGGATTTTGGGTTGCAGTTTGGGTACTCGGTCTCTAAAAGGTTCGCCATCACTGATGTAGATGGAGAATGTAAAGTTCAGACAGATTTAAGAAAGTTAGTCTGATTTATTATTATTATGAATTTGGCAAACTGGGAATAAAAAACTTTCCTGGGAATGTACACAGAGAATAAGGAAGCTAATGATAAATCAAGAAGGACCCAGGTTCAATTCCTCATACTTCACTGAGGAAAAACATCAAGTGAAATCAGTAATAACAGTTAGATCATGGATGTAACTAGCAATCAAACTGCTAACATAGAGAAAATGAAATTACTAACCCTTTTCATAGTTCACAGCAACAATAAAACAAAGCTTTTAAAGAGCATTTGAAGAAAGCAAGTACTGTAGGACTGCCTTAGAGAGAAAGATTAAAATACCCTACTGATGTCATTATCTTCATCATAAAAAGACCTCTGGTGACATGGGACAAAGCAACAACAGAATAAGCCTTTCTGAAGGCTACTTTGGGCAACAGACTGCAGCAAATTGGCCCATACCCCATTCATTTTACTGCTGCTTATCAGAGTAGTTGCTTCAATGGGTCTAAGTTTTGGGCTTCTTGTGCAGCCATTTGTTACCCTAGCATACTTTGAAGGGGCCTCAGAATTAAGTGGCTGGGCACCTGCCTATTGCTGGAGAAAGAACAGGTGGGAAGTCCTCATGGATGAAGACAGCAGGAGGGGGTGGATCCTCCTCTGACCTCAAGCATCAGGTCTTCTTGGGTTGTGTTTGTTCTTTTTAGAACAGCGGTTCTCAACCTATGGGTCGCGACCCCATTTGGGGTCAATCGACCATTTCACGGGGGTCGCCAAGCAAGGCTGTCCGCCATTTTTTCCCCCTTTTCCGGCGGGTGCCTTACCTCCCTTGGGCTGGGCCAGCTGGTGGTCGGCCTGCTCCGTCTCTGCCGCTTGCCAGCTACGCCTCGGCCGGCGCAGGGGACGGAACCACGCATGCGCGGTGCTCCCGGGCAGGGAAAGTCCTCAACTAACGACCGGTTGGGTAGTCCTCGACTTACGACCGGTTTAGTCCTCGACTTACGACCGGTTTAGTCCTCGACTTACGTCCGGTTTAGTCCTCAACTTACGACTGGTTGGGGGTCGCGGCATTAAAAAGGTTGAGAACCACTGTTTTAGAAAGTCTACAAAGGGAGAGGAAGCCAATCCCAGTATGAGAAAGAAGTAAAACACCCTCTTGCTGAATAAGTAGCAGGTGACAGGATGTTCTCCAGCCATATTTTTCAGGCTGAGAGTTATACATGATTAGCATGTCAAAGCTGAAGTTCAAAGAGAGGAATATTAAAAATTACAGTTTAGCAGCAATATTTGGAAGGTCTCTAGTATTTATAACCAAGGTTTGATAGGTGTATATGGGCTTGGGGAGTTAGGTTATACACACTGCTGCTTTACACCACTTCTCATTTTCCGACACAATACTTATGCATTATTGGACATTTACACTAATAACCAACCTCATTGGAATTCCTCAGATTACAGTATCCTTTCAGGGTCAAATCACCCTAATTGAGGAAGAAAACGATTAACGTGAACCTCAGCATGAAATTATTGTAAATAAACACAAATGTATTAAATGTATAGATAAGAGAGCATGTAGTATAATGAAAGGAATACAAAATGTATTAGGGTTTAATGGAATAGGGAATACACAATTACCAATAGAAATAGTGAAGAATGTTCAGTTCCTCTGAAAACCTATTGTACATTTAGATATATGACAAAAATAGACTTTTCTAATCATACTCAAAGAAACAGCTTACCATTTAGAGTTGCAAGGATCATCATATGTAGGGTGTTTTTCACAGACGTTGCCCGAAACCCCAGGATTTGTGCATATACATTTCCCACACACACATTTGCCTCTCCCACTGCAGATGATGCCATCATTAGAAATACAACTCTCGGTATCTGTGGTACAGTTACAGTATTCACCTGTCCAGCCCTGGTGGCAAATGCATTGACCACAGTCACAATCCCCATTACCTAAGAAAAAAAAAAGAGGGAAGTCAACCCTACTTCAAATGCTTCCATCTTTGCCTTTGCTTCCTAATCCTTGAAAATTGCCAGCAATCCTCTGTAGAATGTTGTATGAAGACATTATTTTATATAATTGGAAAGAAACCTTCCAACTAGGTACCATATTAAAGTTCTTTGTTAGGACCTACATAGAATCATGAAGTAGGGAGCCAGCTGTTGAGTTTCAAACCCTACAGTGCTTTATTGGTAGAAAGCATGACAGACATCTCATCAGGTAGGTAGGTAAGTAGGTAGGTAGATAAATATAGATGATAGATAGATAGATAGATAGATAGATAGATAGATAGATAGATAGATAGATAGATAGATAGAGAAAGAAGAAAAGAAATATATGAGATAGATGGCTAGATAGATGATATATAGATAATAGATCAGATGACAGAGGATATAGAAAGAAATTGAGATAGAAATATAGATAGAAATAGATAAGATAAAAATAGATGATAGAAATATAGATATAGAAATAGATGACTTAGAAATAGATGATAGATATAGATAGAAATAGATCATAGACTAGATAGATGATAGATACAGTAGTTAGATAGATAGATAGATAGATAGATAGATAGATAGATAGATAGATAGATAGATAGATAGATAGATAGATAGATAGATAGATCACCTAAGATAGTAAGTTACAGAATGAAAATAAAACGTAACTGTTTATTCCAAACAGAGAACTCACCATGTTTCATTGCCTCACTGAAATAGCCTTTCACAATCTTTTGCCTTCCAAACATCATTGGCTAAAATAGCCAATGATGTTTAGCTTTATACTGTGAGCAATTTTAACAGTATAGAGGGAATTATATTTCAGCCCGTCTACCAACCTCAGGTACATCTGTCTTTGGTGCTAGCTAAGATCTTTCCCACAGCTTACAGACTAACTCATGTGATTGCTTTATTTAGAATAACGAAATTCCGCAACCTTCAGAGAACTTCGGATCTTCCAAAAGAAATCTGCACAAATGCTTTTGTTTCTTGTGGAGTAGTTGTATAACACTACCAGCAAAGTGCCACAAGAGAAATGTGTTTGGAGCTGACATGAGAAAAGAGGATACTAAGGTTCAATCCCTAATCCTCAATTCAGCCAACATATCCAAATATATTTTGCAAATTACTTAGCAATGCACAAATGCATTTTATATTCTCTTCCCAATGACCTTTCTACCCCTCCTGTATTTTAATTCCTCCCCTTGGAAAAGATTTGAATACAGTATTCTGTCACTGTAATGATGGCATATTCCTATACATTCCACAGAAAGATGGGTTGTATTATTATTTTGTCATAATGTTTATCCAGAAATAAATTCTGCTAGATTCTGTGCACTTTATTTACAGATAGGTGAAGGGAGACTAAATTTAGAAAAGCTTTCCTTAAGAATATAAATCAAACAATACTTCATGGTTTCCAATAGAAAAAAAAAACATTAACATATTGTCTATTGGAAGGTTTAGATCTTTGAATGTTGCCTTTCCTTCACACCTTACGTACATCATTTTAAATATAATATTTAAAACAATAAATATTTACAATAAAACAAGCAATCCTGATTCATCTGGAAATGTTTAAAAGCAAAATGAAGAAGTGCATTTCTTGATTTTTAAAAAAAATGTATTATAATTCAAAAGAAATATGCTGAGGAATTTCATAGTGGCCCTTCCACAAACACATACACATATTAACACAATGATTTAATGGATCCTTATTTAGTGGACTTTATGGTAGAATAGCCCAAATTTCCATCTGTACATCATCTCCAAATGACTCCCCCAAAAGCCCATTGCATGTGGAAGAGTCCATATGAGGTACTTAAATTTATGTTAAACTGGGTTACACTTACATCAAATTAGGTTATTTGTGTAATGATGTATGTAAGGTGTGAATGATATGCTTTCTGATTATCAGACTTTTCAGAAACATGAACTCCCATTCCCTGAAACAATCCATTTAATCAAGACTGTCTTCTGCATGTCCACATGCATTTGTACATGATACACACAATTGCATAATATATACACACTTTCAATACCTTACTGTATGCTTATTATGTAGTTACAAGGAAAATACAATTTAGAGCAGACTTACCTCCACAGACCTGCCCTCTAAGTCTGTCACAAGAGAAATCATCGCATTCACAGTATGGCCCATATATATGTCCATATGCTGAAAGGTGGCAAATACATTGTCCACAATAGCAGTCACCTCTTCCATTGCACAAGATCTGTTCTGGGAAACTTTTACAGGACTCTGTATTCAGTGTCTCTTTTTCGCTACATTTACAGTCTGGACCCACGTAGCCGGGGTTACACACACATACCCCACACTCGAAAGAACCATTCCCGTAGTTGCACTTGGAGTTATTCACCTCCACTTCCTTCTGACAATGACAGCTGCATTCGGGCTGGATCTCAATCTCTAATGCTTCATTTAGACCAGTGGGCTTCATTAGGACTTTCTTTCTCCCTTCACTGCAAGCTGAAGGGCTCAAACCTAAAGTCACATTGAAAGTGACCTAAAGAACGGAGAGGAAAAACCACACGTGTGAAAGACACCCATCATCATTTTAGCATACAAAGCACAAAGTAAATATTTAAATATAAACTAACTTGGAAATATTAACTGCCTCCATTCATGAAATATAGGGTAGATATGTTTGATATATTGTTTTATAGCACAAAATCTCAAAGCTGAGAAGTTGAAAGCTGGAAGAAGGCAACTCTTCCCGTATTGCTGCCAACAAAATAACATAGATGTGTCTCCAGGAGGTGAGATCAACTCAGGGACCTATTTACCTTCATTGGAATTTTTCTGGATAAAATATGAAGTGTAAGTGCTTTGAATATATGGAGATAAACCATAGGTTTCCCTGAAATCATCTGACACTGGAAACTTGAATGAGGATGATGAGGTGTAGCTCCTGAAAAATTATGCCTTTTAATAAAATTTGTTGGTTACAAACAAATATAAATAAAGGCATAGAATCAGAATCACACAAAGTATTAGTAATACTTTATAAATCCTTAGTACAGGTCGTCCTCAATTTACAACAGTTTGTTTAGCGACCGTTCAAAGTTACAGCAGCACTGAAAAATGTGATTCATGACCATTTTTCACAGTTACAATCTTTGAAGCATCCCTATGGTCACGTGATCAAAATTCAGCTGCTTGGCAACTGGTTCATATTTATGACCATTGCTGTGTCCCAAGGTCATGTGATCCCCTTTTGGGGCCTTCTGACAAGCAAAGTCAATGGGGAAATCAAATTCATTTAACAACCAGGTTACTAACTTTTGAAAAAATGCAAAGAAGAGCAACTAAGATGATTAAAGGCCTGGAGACAAAAACATACGAAGAATGGTTGCAGGATTTGGGAATGGCCAGTCTAGAGAAAAGAAGGACTAGGGGTGACATGCTAGCAGCATTCCAGTATTTGAGGGGCTGCCACAAAAGATAGGGGGCCAACTTATTTTCCAAAGCACCAGAGGGCAAGACAAAAAACAATGGATGGAAACTGATCAAGGAGAGAAGCAATCTAGTACTAAGGAGAAATTTCCTAACAGTGAGAACAATTAACCAGTGGAACAGCTTGCCTTCAGAAGTTGTAGGTGCTTCATCACTGAAGGTTTTTAAGAAAAGACTGGACAGCCACCTGTCTGAAATGGTATAGGGTTTTCTGCTTGAGCAGGGGATTGGACTAGAAGATCTCCAAGGTCCCTTCCACCTCTATTTTGATTAATTGAAATAGTGCTACCAGAGTCCTGAATTTAAGTGACCGTACTGGATGTAGGCAAACTGAATTCCTGTTTTGCCTCCATGAAACTTCAAGTGAAGCAATCCTTAAAGTAAAACTACAAGCAAAGTAACTCCCCACCCCATTTCTAAGCAGTGGAGAATTTCCACTAACATTGATTAAGCAATGTTATCTATCAGGACCCATGAACCATACCTTCTCTGTTGTGATATCTGCCCTCTGAAATGAGATCCAGCAAAGATTCATGAGGATCCCATTCTGATGATGTTTCAAAAGGCCTTGAAAACTTGGTTGTTCTCTCAGGCAAGGTGTGCCCTCCCTGTTTAAATATGTTTCAGTGTATATAGGCTATTGTTCAGACAGATGCTATTCTGTTTGTTTATACTGTACTGTATATTTTCTATATTATTTGATTTAAATTGTGAGCTGCTCAGAGTCATCTGGAGTCATGTGATGCCTAAATCTAATCAAATAAACAAAAATAAACCTTCCATCCAAGGAAAATGGCTGTTCACCACCATGATATTCCAGCTGATTTGAAAGGAGCAGCTGACTAGCAGGTAATCTACAGCCCTGCTCCCTTTTCTTTACAGACCATATGATCAAAATAAGGGGGAAATCCATGTGGTATAATGGTTAAGGTGTTAGAGTAGGACTGGGGAGACCTGGGCTCTAGCCTGTTCTCAACCATGGAAGCCCAATGGTTAGGCACTATCTCCTAGCCCAACCTCCCTTGGAGAACTGTTATTCATAGGGAAAACGAAGCATCACACATGTTGACTTGAGCTCTAGGAGGAAATATGCAAGACATAGAAGAAGCCCTGAGCCTGCCAACCGATGGCTTGCTTCAATGAAAATGCATTTCAGTATCTCAATATTTGCCATGCCTCTTGGCCCCTAATTTATACCAATTGGGAGTCCATATTAAGACAGGGATGGAAGGCAATTTGTAGTTTTTCAGAAGTTGTTGAACTTTGGTGCCTAGCAATCCTGTTCAAGATAGCCAATAGAGGGGAATCCTGGGAGTTGTAGTTTACCAATACAGTACTCAGCAGGTCACAGGTTTATGCCAAATCCCATTTAGGGATCTCAACTGCAATTGGCTTTGCAATGGGAAATTACACTGATGAAATCATAATTTACTTACCTGTTCTCCCACTTTAATATGAGAGCATTTCTTCTGGTGTGGAAAGGCAGAGCCATGGCTGCAGATGGCAGTGAAAGCAAGTTTTAATCCAGCTGTGTCCCCTAGCACCTCCAGCTCTATCTCAGACCTGAGTGACTTAGACACAATAGTTGACACCATGTCATTGGAAAAGTAATGCCTGATAATTGTAGAACTGATAACATCCCTTCCTGGATCTGAAGATTGGCTCTGCCAGATCTTCTCTAAGAAAGTAAGTTCAAAGTTGCTAGCAGTCAGGTAGCATATAAATGTAATTATTATTATTATTATTATTGTTGTTGTTGTTGTTGTTGTTGTTAAAAATGGAGCAGAGATGCTTATGGGAGATGCCTTTTCAGAAGTTTCACCCTGGGAGCTCAACTGCACATAGTTTGGAGTTGAACAACAATCAATTTAAAAGCATCTCCAGGTATTTTACCAGCGTTCAACTGTTTTGGATTCAGTGACTTGTGTTTTTAAGCCATATTTTCTTTTTATTTTCTGTTTTTTTTTCTTTCAAATGGTTTTATTTATAGTGATGAGTTGCCATTGTTATAGTCTGATCTATACCATCTGATAAAATATATACATATACAGCTACAGTGAAAATGAAATTCTCCAATATTCATCCTAAAATGTTGTATAAACCTCAGAAAAACTGTCAATACTTATAACAGTCTTCTTGGTATCCTCCAGATGTGTTAGACTACAATTTCTATTACCCACAATCTTCATTACCATTTGGAGGGCAAGAGGCTGAGAAAGGCTCCTAACACATGCAAATGTGTGAGAAAGTGGACGGTTTCACAAACTGTACTAAGCCTAAATATGACTTATTTGGCAAGGACCGTGTGAGAACATATTGTTTTTTGTAAACCATAGTTTATGGGTATTTTGGGTGAATCTCACCAATTCTGGTTTATTCAACAAAGCAGGAGTAGAATGCATTGGCATTCTTTTGAACATTAACTGCTTAGTAAAAGAAAATGGAATAGCAGTCTTGCTCTTTTTAATAATTTGATTTTCTGCCAGTCTGGATTTTATATAGGGTAAACTTTGAACACTTTGAAGACTTCAAACATTTGATTAGTGTTCTTTACAGTTTTTGATTTCTCAAGGCGTGTACTTATATGCTTGCTAAAATCTATGACTCAGATTGGAAGGGAATATGAGAAGACTGTGCAACAAATATTTTGACAATTCAGTCTTCCTTCTTGTGCTTATTTTCTGTGGAATATTTACATGTTAACACATCTGTGAATAATAACCTCTTGAATTTCTTCCACAATTTTAAAATGCTTCCATCACTGGAACAATTTTAAAATGGAAACCCCTACCACTTAAGGAACTTTAAGTGAATCTCTTTTTTGAATGCAAAGGACAATTGGGATCATATTTTTAGTTCAACAAACTGCCAGACCACCCTCTGATCAGTATATTCTAAAGAAAAGCAGAAAATTCAGCCATTCTCTAAAATTTGACATTTTTACACACCCGTATTTAAGAGCTCATACCATCAGGAAATTCTTCCTAATATTCAGCCTAGATCTGTTTTCTTCTGCTTTCAACCAACTGGTCTAAAACATATTTTTAAAAAGACTAGGCTGAAGCAGTCATGAGATAAATGTGTAGTGTACAAATAGGATTAGAAACTTATTGCTGTGTAAATAAACTACATTAGTGGAGCATCTGGCTAAAATCACATATTATGAAGAGGAAAGACTCTCTTTTTTTCTAACCATGATCCCTGAAACAAGCCATAGTGATCGATGCTTGTAATCTATACTTTACATTTTTATGACTTTGTCTGAGTTTTTATTTGCTAATGAAACATTGGAGATAACCAATATTTCAGAGAGGGAATAATGCTATATCCAAATTAATTTCCTTACATCAAATTACAAAAATATGAAACTTTACTTGTGTTGTTATCTTATTTATTGAATTTATATGCCATCCATTTTCCCGACAAGGCAACTCTTATTAATTTTACATACCTTATATGCATCTATAATCAACTGGAGGATATTTCCAGAATCATGCTGTAGTCTTCCAACAGTAGCTCCAGGAATAAGATCTGCATATTGCTGCAAAATAAAATTATAACCATCCCTCAGGAAAAAAAGATCAAATATATAAGGTCACCTGACAGATGGTAAAAAATAAATATGTATCTTGGCCTCTGGTAAAAATATCAATGTTAGTCCCTTCATTTTAGGGACTTGTATTTTTTTCCCAATAATTTTTTATTTTATTTCCAAAATTAAAGTACAAAATCAAAAAAAGGAAAAAGAAAAGAATAGATAATAACAACAAAGACAAAAAAGTATATAAAACAGAATGTCAAACATGCACATAAAATATCTCCCTGGTTGAATACTAATAAATATGTTTCATCGATAATAATAATTATTCCCCTCCTTGCAAAACAAGTTCACAATTTATCACTCCTTTTACCTCTATATTTGCAAAATTACTACATAACATTAAAAAATACCAGAAGATTAGAAATCTATTCTCAATCAACTGTTTTGATCTATCATCTATCTACTATATAAAAAAGCAATCAACAGGTAATTCCAAGAACAAAGGTAAACTTCAAAGCCCTCTGTTAACAATCTATTATTGTATTTAATTCACAGAAAATCCACAAGCAGCTTCTAATCTCCCATAAACCCACTATAACCATTGTCTCTGATCCATCCAGGATCAAATAAAATTGGTTTATTCTTAATGGTTAAAAAAAAAATCCAGTTTATCATCCTTTTTTTTTTAATTATAAGTGGGACCTTTGTGAACAACTGCTTCTCATTTCTCACAAACAGAGGTCTCCACTGAAAATATCTCCATAACAATCGTTGTTTAGTAAATTTTCCTACAAATTGAAACAGAATATCTCTTCTGGTTGCATATAGTAGCTTTATTCCACAAACTCCATCAGCTTCCTTCTCTTTCAAATCTGATAACAGCGAATTAATTTCCAGTCCATCCAATTACATAGCTAATTTAACTACAGTTGCTTCTATCTGGATATCTTCTTTATAATGATTTGAAACTGTGGTGAATTCATGACAGCTTTTATCAAATTTTTCATTTAAAGCTTGTAATCAGGAACACCTTTTTTCAAAAGTTTCCAAAAAAGGCTTTAATGTAAAATTAATCTGATTTCCATCTTCTTGTTATGCCTCTTTTTGGAAATATTGTAGAATCTATATAACATGTAATATTCAAAACCCTTAATTTATTGTTACTTTAGTTAAGCTTTCACAGGAGGTGTAAACACTTCCTTTCCCAGAACAAAGAAAGTAAATATTCCATAACAAAGTAACCACAGAAAAAGCTGAGACAAGAATTCCCATAGCAGAGAATAAAGAAAAAAGGGGGGGAAAAGAAAGAAAAAGGGGAAATTCCCATTTTTTTAAAATTAAAAGTAAAAAAACCCCAAGGATTTATGCAAAAATAAAATGAAGCAATGGAGTTCTTTTAAAAAACTAGTAAAGTACAAAATCCTTAGAGTAAGAATCTAGTATAAATCAAATCAAGTCCTTTTCATTGCAAAGAAGAAAGGCCTTATACTGCCAACTTCCTTGTGGTGAAAGAGAAAGTATTTTAAAACTCCAAAGTTTACCAAAGAAAGTTCACATTTGTAAACCAGCAGGAGAATATAAAGCACATCAGCGTTCGACCAGGCTAATAATAATTACATTTCAAAGCTTCAAAAAGTGATACTAAAGACAGTGACAGGAAAAGAAGGAGACCCAGCCCTCCAGCAAACCTAGGCAAGTACACTGTTGTCTGAAGGTCACTGTGGGTTGTTCCTAGTTGCTCCCGTTCAAATCTGAGGACTGTGTTGCCAAAGAACCGGCTTTGACAGCAAAGTCAGCTGTTTGTTGACAGGGAGAAAAAAGTGCCCTGCTGCTCAGTGCACCATTTTCTGGGGATCTCCAGGCACATATTTTAAATTGTTCAAGCACTCCATAAGGCAATGCTGACCTTTGTTACACTATTGTAAGCTGCCCAGAATCACTCTGGATAGTGAAATGAATGACATATACATTTTATAAATAATAAGGGAGAAATAATGAAGGTTGTTTTCCAATTGTTGATTGCCGATTTCCCAAGGAAATTCAATGGGGAAGCCGACAAGAAGCTGGAAGTCACTCCCATTCCCACTAACTTTTTGCCTACCTACAGCTATTCTGTTTCTCGGTTTAGGTAAGAAAATATCTTTGAAAAGATGATCCAATGGATCAATGAGCTGTCTAGTATTCTTTTAAAAGTACAAAATCCAGGAGCCCCAAGATTAATTGTATGATACATCCCCTGTTAGCTATATTAAATCTACATTGGGAGCCACATTTGAGTGAATTTTATTCAGTGCCTTGAGATTGAGGAGATTTAAATAAGGCTGCAAGATTATATCTACTTTTCTTGAAGTTTCACTGAACTCAACAGAAACTCCTTTCATACAGATGTGGATAGGAATGTACTGTAAGCCGCACATGGCATTATTAATGGGGCAAATGTGGTTTGACAGTTTTCTCTGAAAGGCGTTTGGGGCATGATTGAACACTAAGGGAAATTCAGTCCATTCAAGAGATGAAAGGCTGGGGGTGGGTGGAGGACGGATGGACAGATTCTTAGATAAGGACTTTCTGGCTTTCTCTATCTATTATTTAATCTTGAGATAGTCACCACTCACTGATCACAACATCACATTTTCTTTGGAATTCTACACCCTTTGCTATCTCTCTGTACTTCCACTATTATATGAACAGTTTCACATTACATTATTTCTATTGTCAGAATTCCCAGGTGTTTTTCTTTGTTCCCCAGGAACATTAAATCAGTTTTTTTCATATTCAAAACTCCCATTTTGTTGCTTTCTTTGGATAGCTTGTTTGTTTCCCTTTTTAAAATAAAATCCCTGCTGTTTTTGTGTTTCTGCTCTATCACTTTGTTTGCTACCATTGAGTGTGGGATTAGATTAAGTACCTGCACGCGTGCTAAATTTATCCTACTTCAATGAGATTAGGATTCTGAATCTAATAACATTTCTGATTAGAACACTGAATACATTTTTGGGTTACCATCCATCCCTTTCATCTTAATATTTATTTATTCGACTTAGAAGGCCATTCAACTCTTTAAGCCTCTCTGTGTTGTATAACATTAAAAAAAGTAGGAAGCTGAAATACACAGTTCTTGTGGTAATGCTGCCTCTCCTTCCCCAGCTCCCCCCTGCCTGTTGCTTTGACCTACTCCTATTTTCAAGCCAACTGAGAACAAAGCTGTGCTAGAGTGCCTTGTGAGCCAATCAACTGTTCTGCAGCTAGCAGCACAGCCCAGTGGCAGCAATGGAACTGGCAGACCTGCTTTTAAAACATTTACCAGCATACTACTGAGTTCAGGAGTTCAGGAGTGGGCAGGGACCATATCAGTCCAACGTTCTCTCCTCAATGTAAAAAAAAAAAAGAGCCAACCAAATTTCTTGATGGACAACAGAAGATAGGCACTAAACGATGTATTACTGGATCCGGATATGGTGTCATAACCAAGCACCCACACCAAGGGCCATTGCAGAAACCTCCACAGTGTCCAGGCTGGCTGGGTCACTAGCTGAAATGGAGATCATGTTGTGCCAGCCTTGGCATTGGCTCCTCAATCCACCAGGATGGTGGCCTTCCCCGCAACTCAACTGGGACAAGACTGTGGCCAGTGCTGCCAAGCCTTCTGGAGTTTCCAAGAGTTCAGTTCAGCCCCAGCAATTCTAGAATTTCAGGTAACAAACGGTATGGCCCAACTTCAAATAACCTCAGTCTCTTCACCCCAGAGCATTTTTCAGACACCATGTTGAATGGGCAATCTAAGAAGAATGTGAAAACCAGGAAGATTTAGATATCTTACCTGATACAAATGAACTTGTTCCTTGGTGACTGCAAAAATTAGCAGAATGTTGTTTTGCACAATTTTCTCTTTCAATTGTCCTAAAGTTGGATATTCCTGAGAAAAACAAAAAGGAAAATCAGTCTTAACACAGATACATCAACTTTAAGTTTAAAAATAACTTACAAGCGCACGGTAAGCACGTGAACAGTGCCAGATGAAAGACTCACATATTGAGGGCAGACAAAACACAGTAGGTTAATCAAAGCATAGATCCTCCATAATGCCTTTTTTTTCACCTTGATAGGAGAAAAATATTAGCCCTGGAATTAAACAAAGGCTACTCTTCCTTTATGGAAAACATAAATTCATGTTTAAGAAAATGGGAATGGAATAGAATCTTCATTATTGCTTTTGAGGAAATGGCACCTTGTGGTGGGATAAGGCTCAACGAGTTGCTGATTATTTGGTGATGTTTTTGTTTTGTTACATATTGTGTATTTTACCTTCATTATGAAATTAAAAAGCTTTGATGGGAGTGAGGTGCTCATTCAAACAGACTGTGTGAAGAAAAGTTTCTCCATCACACTTGGATAAGCATCCACACTGGAGCAAGGAATGGCTTGTGTTGAGGGGTCTTCATCAAACAATAAACTGTGTTTTTAAAACATTCTTTAAAACCCCGAGAAAACCATTGAGCGGTGGAGCTTGTATGTAAATGAGTATGTATTGAAGGATCAGAAAAATAGAGCAAGAAATACAGTATAGGACATCCCCAACTTTAAGAATTCATAATATAGGAATGGAGTTAAACGCCATCTCAATTTGATATAACAAGATGATGCTTTTTAAAATAGATTTGGAATGCCTCTTATTTAGAAAATTAATGTCCCTGTGGTAGTAAATTTTTTTATTGCTTTCCATTCTCCTAAAGTAGGGTAGGATAGTTTTCAAATAGGAGTTGTCCCTAACCCTATATGAAATAGAGTTCTGTGATAAAAAGGTAATTTTATTCTAATTCATCTGAAAATGGCCTTGTACAAATTATATTTTCTATGTTCATTTTAGAATATTTTAAAAGGCATAATGGATGGAGTTATATAAATGTAATTTCTAACACGATGAAATGTACAAGACTGGAGAATGGGAAAGGATGGAATAAAATAAGACACAATTACCAAAACAGTTGACATGGAGTATTCATTCTGTTGATCCAAATGGCATTTTCCATCATTTGGAATAACTATTCCTGCTAATTTACTATCCATCCCAAAATGAGAATCAGCATCACTCACAAACACTAACAGATGTAATGAATCATTTCTCCAGCCAATTTTTTCCTGCAAATAAAACATTAATAAGTGATGACAGGGAATATGAGATAAAGCAATATATACAATATTTTGGTATCATGTAGAAGTATGAAATATGATTTATCTTATGATTAAAAACATGCCAAGTTCTACTCTATAAAAGGTTGAAAATTAGTATTCAAAAGAACTATTGGAGACAAGCCACAAGATTTTGCTGCCTGAGGTGAAGTAGTAAATACCACTCCTCAGTAAAACTGCAGAGCAATTAAACTCAACTATATTGTCTGAGTACTTGAGGTAGAGTATAATAAATTATATACAGAATCAGCAATTCAGAATATTATTTATTGGCTTTACAAGGCTGCTCAACTCCATAAGACTCTGGGCAGCATATAGCTTTTAGAGAAAACAGTAAAAACACAATTCACATAATCTGCAAAAAGTAATTCTTTAAACAGATGAAATCCTACAAGGAGCTTAGCACCCACCCTAACCCAAGAGTTGGAGGAAAAGCCAGGTTTTTAAACCCTTCTTGAACATTGTGAGGTACTTTCATATGGGATGTTCTGATCTAAGGTGAAGCTAGCAATTTAGCTAGTTTGTTTATCCCAAATCAACATGAAACACAAATATAGTTTCTTTACCTTACAAACAGTTGCCTGCATAATTGCATCAAATCCTCCTTCTGGAGTATCTAAATTTGCAGTGATTTTCTGCTTTTTCACAATTTCATTGAATCTTTCTGAGTCATTTGTCAATGAGAGAACATGCTTGTATCCAAATGTTGGCAAACATTCAAATGCGTAATTTCTGTAAAGAAAAATGCTCATGTGTTTATAAACAACAACGAAGGTCACATTAAAAAGCTTTAGGGTTGAGGTGCATTTGGTATGGCCCTTTATTCTTTTCAGTATTCAGCAATATGATCTTCAGATGAATTATCGTTTATATGATTGGTATCTCCCTGAAGATGTGTTCAGTACATTATAGCTGAGTGATGGGATTTTGAACCCACTGTTTCCAGGACAACTGATTATATATTGATGCTCCAAAATAAAGCACAATTTACAGGACATTTGGTGAGGAGCATTACTTACAGAGAAGCCACTATTTCCTAAAATAGCAATAGTATTTAGACTTATATACCGCTTCATAGTGCTTTACAGTCCTCTCTAAACAGTTTACAAATATGTCGTGCATCCTTGCCAGATCAGAAAGTGGAAGGTAGTTTCCTGTTTATTGAGATCAGTGAGAATATAATTAATCAGGATAATTCTACAGTTGTAACTTTGTATTCCTATTGTAGCTTTGAGTATGTTGAGGAATTCAAGAATTCTTGTTAGTTCATAGATTCTGGAATGCCCCGTCACATGTTCCACCAGTAAAGTTTCACAGTGCCTCATGGAGTAGCCTGGTGCTGTGTATGATAAGCTTTCAGTTGCCCTTTCAAGGAGCATAGCATCCTTAGCTTATTTGCCAGAAGTCTAGATAATCATCATCCCCACCCCCACAAAAATGAATAGCATGGACAAACTGAAATAAATGATATCCAAACTGGATTCTCTGGAATCTAGGCTAGAAACCATTCCCCACCATCCAGTCAGAATTGTAGAAGCTTCTTGGATGAGAAGCGAAACGTCTTCAAGAAAAACAAGAAAGTCCAATTGCCTCGTGAAAAAAGCACCATTGGAAGGACCAGACTGATTAAAGTAGGACTAGAGAGCCCATAAGGCCACTATATCTGATGCATCAAAGCTTTCTTCAATCCTGAAGTTTTGGAAAAGATGATAAAAGGTGGGTCTAGAGCAGTGCTGGTGAATCTATGGCATGTGTGCCAGAGGCGGCACTCAGAGCCCTCTCTGTGGGCACACACACCATTGCTCCAGCCCCGCCTTCCCCCACGGCCCCCTCCTCACCAACAGCCCCCCTGGAGGAGAGTCGCCTCCAGGTGCAGCCCACACAGAGCAGCGCAGCCAAGGACATGGCAGCCGGGCAGTAGGGACAAGACTCTGTCCTCGCGCCCTGTCGCGCACAGATGATGCTGTGGCGTGTGGACGGAGGGCGTGGCTGCCACGGCGGAGGGCCGCCTGAGCGATCTGCGGCGGGCCGTGGAGGTGGTGGGTGGCCCTGTGGGCGGGGGGGGTGGGGTGGTTTATTGGCACTCGGTGTCTAAAAGGTTCACCATCACTGGTCTAGAGTGTTGCCTTGAAGAGAATTGATTTAGTATGCATTGTCTATGTGCATAAGATGGGGGGGGGGGCAGGGTTCTGATTGCATGTGAAAGGGCTACTGGAGGTGACTTCTCACTTTCAGCAGTCCCTGACCTGTTCCTGGGTGGGGAAAAATCCCCTATTTCTGTATTAAAACAATGAATTCATCAAACTGCATTTAAGGAGAAATATCTCACTTAAATTCAAACCATATTTCTAAAGAGTCAGAAGAAATGTTTGAACTTTTCTACCAACCGGCAAGGATTTTGTAGCTCTTCCGTCAGAGTATTAATGAATGGTAAAACTGGTTTTTCAACAAAAGACCCAAAGCCCATCTGAAAGCTACTTGCGAGCTTAGACATTTCTTTGGATAAGATAGACCCCAGTTCCTTAATGGTTTGCAGATCATCATTCATAGAAGCTGAAAGGTCCATGAGGTAGTAGAGATCAACTGGACAATCTTCAGTCTGACGAACATTGATCTGTATTGTTTCTTCATTTCCTTGTGGAGCCAAAGGGAAAACAGAAAACAAATCAAACAACTGTGGTTAAAAAGGGGAAGAGCATGTACACGTATTGACTGGGCCTCTTTATTCTCCATGCTATACAATGTTATTCTGTGACAAAGAATATCTCAGCAGTAGCATTAACTCTTTTAATAATTAATTGTCTGATATGGATAGCGAAAAACAACTGCAAAATATAATTGAAAAATATGCTTTATGGACAGACTACTACAAGAAACAACAAAGTAAAAGTTGGAATCATTAGCTCAAGGTTAAAAAAAAACAACCCTGTTTTTCCCATCCCATTGGCCAGGAAAGCTTCATTCCTCTAGAACAGGGGTAGTCAACCTTGGCTCTTTTATGACTCGTGGACTTCAACTCCCAGAATTCCTGGCTCAGGAATTCTGGGAGTTGAAGTCCACGAGTCATAAAAGAGCCAAGGTTGACTACTCCTGGTCTAGAAGCATCAGAAGTTTTGTTTTGTAACTGATATTTTTCTTCTAGTTTTGAGAAGGGGTGGAGCCACTTTTCAGCAAACCTAAACTAAGCACTGTACAATGCTTTGAAGCTTTGCATCCTCATGTGCCATTCACTCTGTGTACAGTATTCATTCATTCATTCATTCATTCATTCATTCATTCATTCACTCTGGAGGTTCCCAGAAAATTTCACTCAGCCTAATGCCATTGTGCCAAAACAGTTCTGTGAAGCATGGCATAAAGCCTGTGGCAGTCAATGCACATAAAAAGAACAAAGAAAAGAAACTGGGAACACACCTTTCAATAAGGGTTGGGCCACCTGATATCACATATCTACTCCCTTGAAAATATTTACACTTCTGATTGTCACAGAACTGTATTTGATCTAATACTGTATGTTATTGGCAAAGTCCAATGCTACTAACCATTGTTACACAATAATCTTTGTGGCATTTCTTATCTGTCGTGCGCCTCACCAGGACAACACCTGAGTAAAAGCAGTGTATACATACTTCTAGGCCCGAGGGCCCCATATGAATTTTGAGCAACCTTCACTCATCTGCGATGGGCTGTGATGACCCAACTTGCTGATAGGCCACATGCGAAAAAGTAACGGATGAGGCCAGAACAAAAATTTAATGTTACATTTAATTTCAAACTATTTAGTGTATTTCATTTAAATATTAATGTACGTGTGATTCATTAATATTACATTAGAATACAATATATATGTATATGTTTAATGTTAAACTAGTTAAATATTACCTTTGTACTCCCTAAATTCATATACTAATATAAATCATATTGAAAGCTATTTTCTGGTCATGTAGTTAATGATTTCCTCCCTGTAGCACAGTGGTTCTCAACCTTTTTAATGCCGCGACCCCAACTGGTCGTAAGTCGAGGACTAAACCGGTCGTAAGTCGAGGACTAAACCAGTCGTAAGTCGAGGACTAAACCGGTCGTAAGTCGAGGACTACCCAACCGGTCGTAAGTCGAGGACTTTCCCTGCCCGGGAGCGCCGCACATGCGTGGTTCCGCCCCCTGCGCCGGCCAAGGCGTAGCTGGCAAGCGGCAGAGACGGAGCAGGCCGACCACCAGCTGGCCCAGCCAAAGGGAGGTAAGGCACCCGCCGGAAAAGGGGGAAAAAATGGCGGACAAAAAAAATGGACAAAAAAAATGGCGGACAGCCTTGCTTGGCGACCCCCGTGAAATGGTCGATCGACCCCAAATGGGGTCCCGACCCACAGGTTGAGAACCACTGCTGTAGCACATACAAAAATTACACTGTGGTAATGGCTGGAATGGAGTTGGTAGGGAACTCAGCAGCCATCTTTGTTTTATCAAATTCACATCTTGTTCTAAATGTTCCTTTTTATCCCCACTGCCTCTCAGTGCTCTGAGGCTCCCATACTCAGTTTGCCTTATGGTCAAACTTCTCAAACTACCATCAGGATTAGAAATCATCAATCCAAGGAATAAGGACCCATGACCTCAGATTAGCAAGATTTCTTAGGAGTTGGAGTAACAGCACAAGGATTCCAGTGAATAACTTTACTTTCAAATAATTAATCCATATATCCTGTTCAATAGAGCCAGTTTGCTGTAGTGGTTGAATGCACTGGCTAGAAACTGGGAGGCCATGAGTTCTAGCCCTACCTTGGGACATAAAGCCAGCTGGGTGACCTTGGGCCAGACATTCTTTCGCAGTCTTAGAAAGAAGGCTATTTATTTATTTGTCTGTCTGTCTGTCTGTCTGTCTGTCTGCCTGCCTGCCTGCCTGCCTGCCTGCCTGCCTGCCTGCCTGCCTGCCTGCCTGCCTGCCTGCCTGCCTGCCTGCCTGCCTGCCTATCTATCTATCTATCTATCTATCTATCTATCTATCTATCTATCTATCTATCTATCTATCTATCTATCTATCTATCTATCTATCTATCTATCTATCTATCTATCTATCTAGTCCTTAACAGCCCATTTCCCTCATATCTGGATATTATGGCACTTAAGGACCATTCTCATTTATGATGGTCACAGAACGGATGCTTTACAGCCCATAAAATACCCCCTCCTGGCTGTCATAAATGGTTGTATCACTCCCCCCCCCCATTCCCCATGGTTCACACGACCACATGTTGGGTATTAAGCAGCATGGGCAGTTATGTGTGTTCCAAGAACTGCGTATGCTATACCTCTGATCCATGAGCTGTATTGGTTGACAGTTTTCTTCTGGGTCAAATTCAAGGTGCACTTTTATTTATTTTTTGAAAATGATTTAATGAGATTGAATAATGTTGGCAAAGTACAAGAACATCACTTATTGAGGAATTATTTGAAAAGACAGAGAGTCTCTTTTGGAGAAGAACATTAGTAAATTGTTTCTGCTTTCACCAATTACTATTTCCCCTGCTACAAACCTGTATATTTTTCAAATCTATTCTTCAAATGTGCTGCAATCATAGCTAAACAAATACACCTATCTGGACTGAAGTAGCATTATAATATGTTCAAATGATAGATCTTTGCTTGTAAGTTATGATGGATTCTATTGTTCTGTGCCATATTAATATTGCAGCAGGAAAAAAAGGAAATTGCTGAAGCTATTGTGAACAAAATATTAACTTTACAGAAATGGTTCTGTGTCTCATACAGCCTCAGGTGTCCTTTTATTACTTGATTAAAAAAATCCCAAGGTGTTTATTCAGAAATAGATTTCTTAAGTTGAACAAAGCTTACTCTCTAGTAAATGAATTCAGATATCTCCTTTCAAATCATTACCGTATTTTTTATAACCCAAATTGTGCATTGACTTTATTGCCATAGCTTTTTGTAAACTCTTACAATTCTTCAAGATGGAGAATAATAAATAAATAACCAGACTATTTAAAAAAAAGTTTTATAGTTATGATGATGTAACTTACCTGGCCGTAGGAAAACAGTTATCTTTTGAGGAGAAATCTGAGTAACTTCTGAACCACTTATTTGTGGTCCATCACTCAACTGCTTGTTTTCATGGATCTCTACTTTGGAAATGGGAAATTCAATTAAATTCAGCTGGCATCCTTCTGAAATAAGCTTTTCAAGAGTGTCACACCTTTTATGAATTCCAGATGGATCAGTAAAATTCTACAAAGGAGTGGAAGAACAAAAAAACCCCAAGTAAAATACAAAATAGGTTAATTAATTCGATGGCTCTAATTATAAAGAGAATAAAATAATGCTTTTTCCATGAGATGTGTCACGTTAGATGTGTATGTACTTGAGAGCATGGGGCAAACAGTGTTGAGATGGATCATGTTGAAATTATCTTAACCTATAAATTTGTATATGGGTAGTCCTTGACGTACGACCGCAATTGAGCCCAAAATTTCTGTTGCTAAGTGAGACATTTGTTAAGTGAGTTTTGCCACGTTTTATGACCTTTCTTGCCACAGTTGTTAAGTGAATCACTACAGTTGTTAGGTTAGTAACACAGTTGTTAAGTAAATCTGGATTTCCCATTGACTTAACTTGCAAAAAGTGATGACAAGTCCCCGGGACCCTGTAACTATCATAAATATGAATCAGTTGCCAAGCATCTGAATTCTGATCACGTGCGGTCGTAAGTGTAAAAAACAGTTACAAGTCACTTTCTTCTGCGCTGTTGTAACTTTGAACAGTCACTAAATGAACCATTGTAAGTCAAGAACCACATGTAGTTTTAAATTGCCTTTCTCTATTAATAATGAGATGTGTGCTTGCAGAACAAATAAATAATTCTTGTGATGTGCATATATTGCATGATATTTCATCACTACGTTTTGGGACTTTCTTTGGGTTTCCTCTCCTCTGTAGATGTAATGGGATGTGGGAATGACCTTGGAGGATAGGGGGCGGAGGGGGGCAGGGCAATAGTAGGATAAGAGTCTGCAAAAGAAGTCTGTGCATGGCAAACATCCTAGTAAAGATGAAGGGGGAGAAATGTAATTTCAGACTTGCCAAATTCTGTTAATGTATCCTTATAATAAAGTAGAATTAGTTTGAAAAAAAGAAAAAATGGGATTTATGGATTTGATGTTTAGAAAGGGTAGATTGTGGGAAAAAGAAAATTATGAAGTAACACACACACACACACAAACAGAGAGAAAGAATAAAATATAAATATACTTAAAACTGCTGTTAAGAAGATTGAAAGCCACTTCTTCATTACCTTTTCATTTTTTCCATATTTTTCTTTTCTACTTCTTTTACCTCTTTTTTATTTATTCATCAAACAAATTGATGTGGCCATCCAACTTACACCTAGGTGACTCTGCGTGGCTTACAACATTAAAATTTTTCACTTTCTTATCACTTTCCCCTATTCTTTCTCTATTCAGTTCAAAAGTATTGTTTTTATTTTGTTGATTTTTTTTAAAATAAAAATGATAACAAATGAACAAACTATAAAGTAGAATTAACCTATTTTGTCATGCTTTCTGCCTGTGTGCCTTGCTAGGCTGACCACAGATCAAATCAGATATCCTCTTGACTATTCAGGGGCTTCTAATGACATTAAGTTACATAATAGGGTGCATGGAAAGTTTCTGTGTTTCTTAAAAGTAATTTATTTCTTTTCCATATTCTACCAATAATATAATGGAATTATTTCAAACCATTTTGGAAAAGTATATGTTAGATCAAATATATTTATTTATTTATTTATTTATTAAATTTATATACCGCCCTATCTCCCTTACGGGACTCAGGGCGGTGAACAGGCGATACTAAAAACCACGATAATAAATAAATAGTTTCTGTTCTAAAATCGAATTAAATAACAGGCCTGTTCTAAAAACACACCCATACAAAAAACCCCACTGAAACATAATCAAACTACGCCAGG